CGCAGCGGAGACCGTTCTCATGAGTGGCGGTTCGCACCATGCGGCAGTGGGGACATCAGGTGCGCGAATTTAAGCGCCATTTTCGATTCCGTGGTTTTGGCACTGTCTACCAACTTTGGTACAAATCGACTTGGTCTGGGCACAGTCGCACAGACGAGCCCTGCGCGGGGCTGCGCATGCAGCAATATTGCGCGATATTGCGCGATATTGCGCGATATTGCGCGATATTGCGCAATATTGCGCGATATTAGGCGATATTAGGCGATATTAGGCGATCATTCGCGATACACCGAAAATTCCCTCTAGAGCAGGGATTCGCTCCGTGTACAGCTCACAGCTCACTACAGGTGTGAAGTGTTTATGCACTGCATCTTTAGTGCACTTTAGCGCGAATTTAGTGCGAATTTAGCGCAAATTTAGTGCAAATTTAGTGCAAATTTAGCGCAAATTTAGCGCGAGTTCACTGCGACTTTACATCCAGATTTAGCGAGGTTTAGTGCGTCTTTAGTCCAGCCAGCCGCGCAGTAGGATCCAGCCGCAGCCCCTCGCTGGGCCTCCCTCCCCCTCTCCCCCTGCAGTTCCCTGCCCACTCGCAAAAGTTCCCCGTCCCATCCCCAACCGAGCGAAGGTTCTTCAGCTGAATATCAGCCTACTCGATAAAAGGTGCTTTCCGGGCTGCTTCTCCGGGCCCGCCGAGCGGCAAAACGTTTGCCAAGCGCGGGGCGTGAACATAACGACTTTACTGCGATGGCAGACACGGCCGAGCAGACGAGGGTGGCGCTGCCGTGGCAGCAGGGAGATGCGAGGGGCACGCTCGACCTGCCGGCGGCGACCAAGGTGCAAGGTGGAGGACCTCAAGCTGTGCCTCAACGCGAGCGACTGCGCCGCGGTGAGATGTTTGACACGGTCATCATCGAGGTGAGGGTCATGAGGGCAGGGGCCAGGCATCTCCTGTGGTGCATTCTTGGCAGCCAAGGAGCAAAGCACGCGGCCCTGGCCAGCTGTGGTGTGGCTGGGAAGCCGTGCTAAAGTTGCGTGCCCGCACTAAAGATGCGGGACCCACACTAAATGTACTGCAGCTGCCCGCACCTAAAGTGAACTAAATGTGGCGCTAAATCAGAGATAAAACGCACTAAATATGTGCTAAATATGTGCTAAATATGTGCTAAATATGTACTAAATTTGTCACTCGCTCGAAATGTGGTACGTAAAAGGGTTAAATTTCTTCTTGAACAGTATTACTCTCGTGTTTTTGTGCGCGTTGTCGGTTGATAGCTGGGTAGCGGGGGGCCCCGCCGGAGGCTGGTTACTGATTTATTTAAGTTAAATTTCTCCGGGCCAGCCTCGTCTCACCCCTGATTCCCCGCCTGGTTGTAGTGGCACAGCGGCGCACCCCACGGCTCGGGCTCCGCCGGGGTCATCAAGATCCGCTGCAGCTCGTACACCCGCTCTGGCGAGAAGCGGCAGCGCCACTCCTCGCCAGCCCTCAAGCGGAAGAGCTCCTCGCCATTCTCGCAGATCTGGTTGAAGAGGCACGTCTCGAGGAAAAAGATGTCGTCGTTCGCATAGCCCGCGTTCGGGTATGTCCCGCTGTTGGCGCCGTTCGGAGTCCAGCCGGAGCAGCGGTTGAAGGGGTGGCCGTAAGCGCCGCCCGTGTTTAGGGACCCGGGCGCGACGGCAAATTTGATGCGGTTCTCGTCCTGGTCTGGCAGGCTGCCCTGCGCAGCGCACGCCTGCCACTCAAAGTTGCGGCACAAGTTGTAGTCAGAGGGCCAGACGGCGAGCAGCTGCAGGTTGGCGCGGACGCAGCGCTGCCTGATGGTGCTGCCCCACCCCCCGTGGTGCCCGCAGAAGCCGTCAATTGAGCCGCCGCCAGCGTCGAAGCCCAGGATTGCCGGCGCCGGCCGCGTAAAGTCAGGCGTGCCGTCGCGCCGCGAAACCTCGTCGCCCTCGTTGCCATAGAAGCGCATCCAGCGAGTGCGAGAGCAGTGGCGACCGCTCACGATGTCGTCAAAGTAAGTCCGCGCATCCTGCGGCGCGCGCCCGAACCGCTGCACCTCCCAGCAGGCGGGCCGGTCGGGGCCCGCCTTGGCCCATCCCACGGCGTCCCACATCCTCCGAAAGTGGTGCGTGTTGTCGCGGAGCATGGCGTTACACCTCGCATGAGTGAGCGGGCCGTCCCCGCTGACCACCGGCGGGGGCGGGCTAACCAGCGGCGGATGCGGTGGGGGCGGGGGCGACGGGCTCGGCGGCGGCGGCGGCGGCGGCCTCGGTGGCGGCGGGGAAGGCGGAGGCGACGGAGGCGGAGATGGATGCGGCGATGGAGGAGGAACAAAGGGCGGCGCGAGCGGCGGCGGAGAGGGTGGCGGCGGCGGCGGCCGAAGCAGAAAGTAAGCCGCGGCCGCAAAGGCTCCTGCTGGCACAAAAAGCAGGAAGGAGGCGGCGGCGGCAACTGCGTTGAAGCAGCAGAGCCGCCGGGTTTCGTCCGTGTCTGCGGTTTCTGGCGCCGCGTCCATCCCCAGCGGGGCAGGCCTGTCCAACTCGACGGTGTGCACATCAGCCTCGTCCTCAAGCCGGCCGTACCGTGACTTTCGCAAGGCGTGCCCGGACGCATGCCGCTGGCCAGCTGCAACGCGAACGGCGGTGGTGCCCGGGCGCACCGCGAGCGCAGTGGGGCTGGCGGCTGTCAGGTCGGCACACCCGTCAGCGTCGCTGAGCGGCTTGTCGCCGGGCATATATGTCTGTGTGCACATCGTAAGGGCCCCACGTTCGGGCTGTTCGGGTGGCGGGCACTTCGGCGGAGGTTGATTCTTTTTGCGAGGTTCGACAACCCCTTGAACCCCGTGTTGCGTGACTGTCTCTGTAAAGGGGAAGGACCCTCAGTTGAACAGGGGTTCATCAACAGAATAGAAAGAAAGAAGGATCTGACCGCTCGCGGCCGGGGCCGATGTGACCAAGCGCCTGGTAGCGTGGTTTTACCTCACACCCATGGTCTTGCCGGCAGTCGCCGAGCAGTGTCGCTCACACAAGCCGCAGCACAAGTGACTGAGGGCCAGTGACGACGACGACGACGTCCTCAGCTCGGTGGAGCGGTATGACCCGGCGCTGGATGCGTGGGAGGCGGTGGTGCCGATGGCGGAGGCGCGGAATGATCACGCTGTGGCGGTGCTGGACGGCAACCTGTACGCTGTGACGACGCACTGCGCGCAAGTGAAGCGTCGCTCTTGCAGCCACTCTGGCAGCGCGGCCTGCATCGAGAAGCTGCGCCGCCGCAGATCGGCTGGCTCATCCGCCTTGGACAGCGCGCCGCGATTGCGCGCCAGCTCACGCGCCAGCAGCGCTGCGGCGCCCGCCTTCCAGCCCTGAGTCGCGTGCGCGAGGTCTTCCTCTCCGAGAGACAGCAGCTCGGCGAGCGTGCCGGCGCGGTCCTCCACGGCGCGCGCCTGCTGCCCTCCGAGGCCGAGCGCCGACAGCCACCCCTCCAGCGGCCTTGCACAAGTCCTTCCAAGCCTTGGCCTTCCACCCGGCCTCGACGGTGGCCTGAGTGGTTGTGGGCCTCGGAGGTGGCCTCGGTAGTGGCCTCGATGGTGGCCTCAGTGGTTGGGCCTCGTGCTCGAGCTCGCGTTGCTCGTCGCACGCGACGCCGATGGCGCCGAGCGAGCGCTTGGCCAGGCCAACGTGGTGGAGAAAAAGATTTTTTTCGTCCCGCGCAGTGTACAGGCCCTCAACAGGCTGAGTTAACCACGTCGTTGGCTATCGCAGAGCAGAAGCAGCGGAAAGGCGAGCCGCGGGTGGGCACGCGCGTGTACTTCTGAGACGGTTGCAGGGTGGTCTGCATGTCGCGCGCGATGGGCGGTAAGCTGTCATCGCCGGGGCGCGGCTTGCAGCGCTCTGGGTGGTGGTGGCGGCGCTCCAAGAGTGGTGCTCTTGGGAAGAGGTTCCTGCTTCCAAGGCGCGAGACACACGGAACCAAATTAACATGATGACGATCTTTCTCGCAGTAGCAGACTGCAGGGTGTGAGCCTCGGTACCCTAGATATGTGAGAGCTCTCACTCACACTCATCAACTGTTTGGTGGACGTATGGATTTTGCGGGGAGCTCGCGGAGCGCACGCTCGGCAGTCCACTGCGTACACACCGGCTTTTACGGCCATCGGCAAATGGGGTCGCAATCACTTCCCGGGTGCCAAAGGCCAGGATCTTGGAGAGGATCGCCTGTGCCGACGTTGTAGCACTTCTTCCAGCACATCGGCCAGTCTGTTGGCCTCGTCACCTCGTCGAGCAGGCCGTCGCTATTGACCTCACTGCCGTCCGGACAGTAGGCTAGCTCGGACTGGCAGTCACCTCTCGCCCAGTTGCCGACTATTCGATACTCCCCTCCGAGTGGACCATCGAGCTCTGAGCTTGCAAAATAGTGATTGCCGTCTTTCGGCATGAGTTGGATGATCAGCCCCGCAAGCCTCGAGGAGCAATGTATCCAGCCCTGAGTCGTAAATTGTCCGTCTGGCCCTCCAGCTGCGTAAAAGCCCGTCCAGTCGCCATACGCGTAGAAGATGCAGGGGTGGTCCTTGTCGAACTTGCTGCAGTACTCGATGCCGCCCCACCCGAGGTAAAAGCCACACGCGCGGGTCGGAGATGTGCAGTCTGGGTGCCAGTCGTGTGTTGGGCTATTCTCGGTGTTTCCGCATGCATGTTGTGCGCAGTCGTGCTCGTAGATGAGGGGGCGACTTGTGCTGGTGGGGTCTGTGTCGCCGCTTCCCTCCATCGTCGATGCCGCGCACTTTGCGCTGCCCCACCCATAAATTGGGGCTGTGGGTGGAGGCACCGGAGAGGGCGCTGGGCCGGACGGGGTCGGTGCGGGGGTTGGTTTCGCCGCCGACCCCCCAGTGCACAAGTCATTGTCGTAGACGCACTTCGCCTGTTGCTCTTGCTCTGAGAGAATGCAGTTGACGTAATAGCAATCGAAACCGTCGCACCCAGGATTGAGTGGCTGGTAGTACCTGTCGCACGTGTCAGGCCCTGCAAACATCTCGCAAGTCGCGGTCGGGATGTGAGTTGCGACGGCAATGTTGAGCGGGTTGCACGGGGGCGGGCCAGCTTGGGCAGGTGGCGACGGCGAGGGCGAGGTCGACGGCGGCGGCGGCGACGGCGATGCGGACGGCAGAGGCGGCGGCGGGGAGGGCAGTGGAGGCGGCGGCGACGGTTGGCAGCACTCCGCCTTCTTGCTAGGGAGGTCGCTGCAAGCCCAGTACGCGGCCTGGGGAATGTCCGGGCAGGGCAGCTCGACGCAATCACAGATCCCTGGATACGACAAGAGGTAGTCGCAAGTGCAGTCAATCCCCCTGAACGGCGTCCGCGGCGGGGGTGGAGAGGGCGGCAACGCAAGCTCGTAGACAAGGGGAGGCGGCGGCGAGGGCGGCGGCGGCAACGGGGCAAGCCCCCTTGGGGGCGAGGGCGGCGGTTCGACGTTGTAGACAAAGGGAGGCGGCGGCGAAGGCGGCGGCGGCAACGGCGGCGGAGAGCAAGGCGGGGACTCGGACAGCCGCCGCCGGCTCGCGAGGTGCGACGCCTCAATCGCGCCGTCCGACGACGCGGCGGCGGCGTCCGCCGCGAGCAATCCGGGCTGTCCCTCGGTCGCCTCGGCGGCCTCGAAGCGAGAGAAGCGAAACGTGGTGGTGTGCGGCGCCGCCACCTCGTACATGGCTGCCTCGCCTTCGATGGCGCCTGTGGAGCGGCAGCGCAGCTCAGAACGCCGCGCCGAGGTCCGGTGGGGCGCGCACGCCGCGGCGCCTTCTGCCATCGCTGAGGTCCGAAAGGTCCCCGAAGCGGGGTACTCGTCGACGCGGCCGTGGCGCGGCTCAGTCGACGCAAAGGCCTGGCCGACGAGCCCGTGAGGCAGGTGCCGCGCCGCCACGCCGCCCCGGGCGCGCAGCGAGACATCGAGGCGGTGGGCCGGCCCAGAGATGCGGTCGTACACCCAGTTGCCGCGCACGACAGAGGCCCAGTCGCCGACGGTGAACTCGGCGCTCGAGAAGCGGACTTCGATGAGAATCTCCTCGCACTTCTTGGAGTTGCCGGTGCCGAGGAAGAAGTGGCCGCCGCCGCAGGAGCCGTTGATCATGTTGAAGCCCGTGTTGTATTCGCTACGGGACAGTCATGGTCACGTTTGAAGGGGGCGCGTGTGGTAGCTGGCCCTCAAGCATCCGTCTCGCACTTGAACTCGCTAGCCCAAAAGGAGGCGAGGCAGAGCTTGTTCTTCCGCCCACCGACGCGTGCCACAAAGTGCACCTGCGCCGGCAAGAGGAGGAAGGATCGAAGTCATTGATGACCGAGGGGCTCGGTCGATCGAGTCGGCGGGCTTCGCCACATTGCTGCGCGCGCCTCGGTGATGAAGGACCCTTCCACGACCAGCGTGCCGCCCTTGTCGTGGAGGTTGTGAAGGCGGAAGGTGGCGTCCTCCGTCTTGATGTTGATGGCAAGGCGCGGCGCCGAGAGGAAGCAGTAGTACTGGCCGTCGCGCCCGCGGAAGTCGGCGCGTCCGCCGCGCGGGAGGGAGAGGTGGGGGTCCTGCGGGGCACGGTCGCAATGGCGCGGAGTCGCGACGAGAGAGGCAGAGGCGAGCACCGGGCCCCTAGCTGCCAGCGGACCCGAGCAAAGTTGGCTTCGAAGCAAGGGTCGATTGGCTCGGTCTCGCCGTCGCCTCCTGCGAAAGAGCGGATGCCCAACGCCGCGGGGAAGTAGCACAGCTCCAGCCGCTCGCCGCCAGTCAGGGGTGCGCCGTCACAAAAGTTGAAACCCTGCGAATGCGCCGTGAGCGTATCGTGGGCGAGCGTGTGTGAACGATCTTCTTCTCTGCGCTGGCCGCTCAGGCTGCCACTCGCTGTTGCCTGCCTCTCGCTGCTGTCTGCTGGTTGTCTGATGCCACGCTGGACTCTAGCCGCTGCGCTGTTGATGGCGGCGGCGCAAGCGGGGTCTACGTCCGCGTGTGTGAGAGCGGGGAAGGGATGTGGATTGCTACGAAGGAGGAGTGGGTGCGAAGGAGGAGGAGTGGGTGCGAAGGAGGCAAGCTCAGGTTGCCTCTGGGCCGCGATAGAAGCTCGCAAAGGTGCCGCTGCCGTCCGCGTTGAAGCCGTCGCCCCCGCCTGCGACGCTCTGATGCCGCGGGCCGGCGATGATAAAACCGCTGTCACTGTGCTCGGCGCCGCCCATGTGGAATGCGATCGCAGCAATAGGAGTGCCCTGGGATTGAAAGTACGGGTGGATAAGATGCCACTGGTCGGCCGTCGTGTCGGCCTTACCTGGAGGGGGGTCGCAGTCACAGCTGGGATGACTACCGCATCGTGGATATGGGGCTATGCCGCTCACAGCCGATGTCGGCCGCGTGCAGGGGGTGTGCTAGCCATGCACAAGCCTAGTACGAACCCTGCACAAAGTAATCGCGGACAGCAGGGCCAGCCGTGAACCCGAGGGCCGTTGATTCGCCGCAGGCCCCGCCGGTCACGACAGCGAGGATGGAGATGTTGGTGTCGCCGGCCGCGACAGCGGGATCCAAGTCCCGTTGGGGAATGCGGTGGAACCAGCAGTCCTGCGTTGGCCTTCCCAACGCTTCGAGGGTAGCGAACGTCGCTTCGCCCTCTGGCATCTCTTGGGCGCAATTGAAGAACTGGTGCGCCACGCGCGCACTGCGATGGCCATCCGCTGCCTGAATCGAGCACGGCGGCGAGCGCGCCGCGAAGACGGAGTGTAGCCACGCATACATCAGGCCAGGCTAGGTCAACCCCTCGTCATTGGCTCAAGCCCCTCCGCCCGACCGACCTACCGACGGGGCGACGCGGATCATAATGATTCAGTCAGTGAGTCGCAAGGCGCGCGATACACACACAGTCTTACACACCTCCTAGCATGGAGGACGGGCCCACACGCACACACACGCTGCACACGATTGGCTCGGGAGCCGACACGAGGCGCACTGTCACCGGCCGTAGCACCGGGTCCGGACTGCTGGACACACAGCACACAGCACACCAGGACAGCTCACGCGGTTACTGGACCGTGTTCAACGACGTTGAACATTGTTCAACGTCGTTGAACACTACTTAGGAATGGCCGTAGCTCCTCTCCACGAGCGATTGAGAAGACGTACCACGTGTCGATTCTGTATAGAATTGCAAGGCGCACACGCTGGTGCAGGCGGGGAGTCGTCGATCCGACTCGTTCCGACGTGAAGTCGCCGTGAAGCATTGGCAAACAGGGCATTTTGCCCAAGATTTGCCCTCCCGCGCGATCTTCTCGCGTCGGCAAGCGCGCGGGCCAGGATGGGCGAGCCGGTCCCGCCACGCTGGACGGGCCAGCGGCTGGCACGCGCCGGCCACCCCGGCGGCGCGGCGGCCTCATCGCGCTCGTCGTCTGCGAGGCCACCGCTCGGCGTCGCCGCGTCCGACGGCGATGGCGCTTGGCTGTGAGGTGGGATGGCGGCATGGTGCGCGCGGACGTGGGGGTGGTGCGGGATGCGCGTGCCAGCAAGCATAGTTTCACCTCCCCAACCCCGCAGGCGCGCCGACGTGCTGCCCGAGCGCGTTTGGAGGCAGCAGCAGCTCCTCGCGAGGCGCCTTCGGAGGGGTGCCACACCCCTTTCCCAGCCGCGCGCGAGTTGAGCTCCGATTTGCGCTCTTTTTCGCACACGCCCGACGCTAGTAGGTGAGGATCGACCATCCTCCGCAAGCAGGGCTTCGTCGGGCGCGTCTTCGTCGAGCGGTGGTGCATCTCCCATGCTCCCACCCGCGCCCTCCTCGCAGCCCGCCCGCGGCCGACACCGACGCCCTCACGGGCTCACCCTAGTCGTAGGTGCGGGTTTTTTGCGTGCCCTCCGTCGATACGGGGCGCTGGGCGATGGCTGGGCTTGTCGCCGGGCGAGCTGGCCCCTCAGTCGGCCGCGGAGCGGAGATGCGAAATCGAGGCGGCGCGGCCCCTGCGCGCAGCCTATCCGGCCGGCGCGCGCATGGTTCCGTAGCCCGTCTAGTGCCTCACTGACCAACTCCAGCGCTACGGTCTACGTGGCCGGTGTGGTACTGGGGCTGGGCAGCCTTGGGGCCGGCGGAGACCGCCGTCTAGCGGTCGCACTAGTCGGATATTGTTGTTCAACCTGTTTGTTCAACGGTTGTTCAACCATACTTTGAGCCTTAATTATTAATTCGGGTTTGGGTCTCTGAGGTCGATACTAGCGTCTATAACTTGCCACAAGCATGCTTTACAAAAGTCCAGCGGAGCTGGACTCGCATAACGGCCGTCCGCGCGCGCTGTGAACAGCGCCGTGGTTGAACACTGTTCAACGTCGTTGAACACGTGACGGTCCAGTAACCGCACGAGGCGGCGCTATATAGTGGGCTTCTCATGGGACTGACGCGGGAGAAGAAGGTGGAGCACAGGGACGGGAACACAGAACTCTCGAACTGACATCCCACCCCGCGCCGGGGGCGGTGGCGCGCGCGAGCGCCGAGTGCAGACGCTGCGCCGCTCGCCACCCCCACCGCCGACAGGGCGAGCGCCGTCGACGACATGGAGAGCACATCCATCCCGGCCTTCTCCCTCGCCGCGGCCGAGGGCGAGGACGAGGCGCCGGCAGGGGTGGTGCGCGCGAAGGCGACCTCAAAGCGTACGCCCACCCAGATTACGCGCACGCCTGGCAGCCAGCAGAGGCCCGGCTCGGTTCGGCGCGTCACTGTTGGCGGAGGGCTCGCGGGGGGCACGCTCGTGGCCACGGGCTTGCGCGAGCCGAGCATGGGTTCGAGGGGGCAGGAGGCGAAGCGGCGCGGCTTGTTGCCCAATGTACTGTGAGACGAGTAGAATTGTACAGTACACAGCGTACAGCGTACAGACGAGTAAGAGAGAGTCCGCCGCGCACAAAGTTATGTCTATACGGTGTGCGTCGCTGTACTGCATGTTGTTTTGTACTATGTAGAAGCGCAGCCGTGTCTGTGCACGCACGAGGGATGAGGCGGACGCTCGGTTTTCGCGCTCTACAGGGGTGACACGGTGCAGCCACGAGAGGAGGAGTGCGCTCTGGCGTGGTAGACGGCGGCGAAACAGATGAGGGCGATGGCGGCAAGCGAAAGGGCGGCGACGCGGCGGGGCCGGGCCGTGTCGGCGGCTGACGTGGATGCTTGAGCTGCTGAGCAATCCAGGCGCACTTTGGCAGCCGGCGGCAGCGACTTGCGGCGTCAGCATTCGAACGGTTGTGTTGATTTGCTCTTGCTCCGCGGTATCTAGCCGGCGCGCTCCGCGCGGGTGTCCAGCTAGCGCGCTCCGCGCGTATGTCCAGGTAGCACCAGCGCGCTCCGCGCGCAGCCGCGCACCATATCTCAGTGCCTATGCTTATAGCCACTAAAAGCTCGTTTCTGCAGCTTGGACGCACACAGACAGGGGTCAGCCCCGCGCGACCTCGGGAACCAGCCGGGGCATCGGAGAAGGGGCAACTCCGTGCACTGACGGTCGGCCGTCAGAAAACACGCCTCCGTGGCTCGGGTTACACCAATCCTCGCTACCCAACGCGGCCAAAGGATATCCACCTCGAGAACCTCGAGAGGCTGTGAAGAGGCGGTGGCGTCGTGCCCAATCCGCGTTCCGCGATCGTTCTTCAGTCCTGTGGCTGCCGCACGCTCTCTCCACCTGCTCTCATGTCTCGCGACATTAGCGTCGACGCGTCCTTCCTCGAGTCCCAGCGAGCCAAGGCCGAGGAGCGCCGGCGCCGCTTCGAGGCCGCGGCGAGGGAGCCGCCGCCGCCGCTGCCAAAGCGCTCGATGGCGTGGCCGGGCGGGAAGATCGTGACGCCCAACAAGGCCGAGGCCATCGCGTCTTTTCTCGAGCGCAAGGCGGGCTCGCTGGACGAGGCCAAGGAGCGGGTCCTCCTCGGTGAGCTCGGCCGGGCTGCCGCAGAGGCGGGAGCCGGTGCCGCCGCCGCAGCCAGCGCTGGAGCGGCCGCGGCCTCCGGAGCGGCCGTGTCGTCCAGCAGAAGAGCGCTCGCCGGCCTGACCCTCGCCCTGAGCGCGGGCGGCGACGAGTCGGGCGTCGGCCAGGCGGAGCTTGCAAAGTCGATCCGCGCTGCGGGAGGCGTGGTGAGCAACACGGTACACAAGCGGGTCGACCTGCTCGTCGCGAGCGCCCGCGCCGTCAAGCGCAACACGCAGGCAGTCCGCAAGGCGAGGGGCAAGTTCCGCACGCCGATCGTCTCTCCCGGCCCGAGGCTAGCCGAGACGGGCCCACACTTCCTCCAGAGCTGGTCACGCCTCTGCCGCTCCCGCCGCCCGCCTGCTGCCTCGCCCTCGCCCTCCCTGCCCCCCTCTCGCTCACCCACCAGCTTCCCGTCCGCGGCAGACTTTGTCATCGACTCGATCGCGGCGGGCTCCAAGCGCGACCCCGCTCTCTACGCGCCCACCGCCGACCGCGCCGCCCGCGCCGCGCCACCGGCCGCAGCGAGCGCGGCGCCGCTCGGCACGATCGCCGCGCGCGCAGTCGCTTCGGGCAGCGGCCGAGAGGGGGGAGGGGGAGCGACGGCATGGGCCCTTCTCTGAACCCCTCTCGGAGCCGTGTCTGCAGGCAGCGCCGTGATGGGCCTCGAAGACGCCGACAGCGACGCCGCCACCGACAGCGGCGAGGGCGGCGGTGGCGGCGGCGGCGCAGGGGCGGGCAGCGGCGCGCGCTCCTCCTCCAGCGACGCCTCTTCCGAGGAGGGCGGGGCGGGGGAGGGCGGGGCGCGGGGGGGCGCGCCCGCGCGCAGGCAAGCCAAGCGGCGGCGGGTCGGCGGCGGCAGCGGCGGAGCGCCCCTTGGAGCCTCCTCTTCGCTGTCCGAGCCTAGCGGTGCCCCGGGCGATGCCCCCGGGTCGGGAAGGTGCATTAGCAGCTATGCCAAGTAGTGTGATGGTAGCTACACCATAGCAGTCTCTGTGGTAGTACACCAGCACCTGTGCCACATAGTCGCGCGCATGGTGGTACACCGTAGCACCCATGCCATACAGCGGTGTGTACGGTAGGTGGCGGGGTAGGCCGGCTGCGCTACCGCGCCCGCCCCGCCGGCGCCGCTCGCTGGTGGCGCGCGTCATGGCCTCCATCGGGACCAAGGCGGGCGAGGCGCGCTGCCGAAGCCAGGCGCCGGGCGGCGCACGAGCCGGACGCTCTGAATAGGCGGGCGATGCGCGGTACAGGCGTCTCGAGCGGAGGATCAAGAGCCTGCGGCGGCGCCACTGGAGCGCCGTCGCAACTTCCGCCGAGCGTGCCTTCCTTGTGGGAAGCCCTCGCGCGTACGCGCGGGCGGCGGCCGCGCTGACGGCGGAGGAGGCGGAGCGGAGGGCAAACATCGAGGCCGCCGCGAAGGAGGTGCCCGATTTGGGCATGTGCCAGCCTTGCGGGCCGCGGCAGCCGAGCTTTCCCTCGAACGGGGGAGTCCGGTTCCTGGCCGGGCCGGCGGTCCAGCGCGCGGTCGGGTGAGAGAGCACCGCGGGCGGGGAAGCACAGCCCGAGGCTGGTCCGAGCACAGCCCGAGGCTGGTCCGGGGAGAGACGAGAGCTTTCAAGTCACAAGTGCGCACTGTGCAGGCGCTGATCATAAAAGTCATATCCCTCCGACTATCATACGTTTCATTTCGGCGTGTGTTCTGCTTTTCCTTTTTGAGGCTGAAATCCGCTTTCCTACTCGTCCGAATTGCTGCTGCCCGAATCCTGTGAAGACGGAGAAGAGACGAAGAGAGAACACTTGCAGGATCTTGCAGCATGCAGGTCCTGCTCACGTCAGGGGCGGGGAACCCGCAATTTGAGATGCTGAGGCATCTGAAATTGCCCGATACGATCT